GTCTTCATTGTTGCATTAACTTGTGGATCGAAGAGGGCAAGACCCACCAAGCCTTCACTGAGGTACCACAGGTGACGACCGAAGACTGTGAGACATGTTCTTGATATTTTGACGTCGTGGTACTCTGACAGGTCTTGGAGGAGCCGCAAATCATTAGCAGGAGCGGAGGATGGAACGGAGGCCGTGAACCATGCACTGACATACACCTCTAGCACAAAGAATGTGAATCGTTTCAAGCCTAATGTCTCACGAGCAGTTAGTTTAAACTGATTAGCAAAAATCAGGATCTTCATGACATAAATGAGCTTAGCCATCCACCGTGCTCGGTGAAGTGCTCCGGCCGTCGGAGATTAAACTTGGGTAGAGCTCCATCGAGACACCTGATTGCTAGCTCCAGTACCTCACGGTAATCATCACGTGGCTGCTGCTTCTTGCCCAGATGATGTTTCCAGCAACAGATGAGGTCATCTCGTTTCTCGTACAAACTTGGAGGGAGGTCTGAGAGAGGGCTGTAGTCATCTTGACTGATGTCCTTCCACTTATGCTTGAAGCGAGAGAAGAGAGTATTATCTGGTCCAGAGGAAGGCCCCATGCATTCCACATACGCTTTCTCGGCAACAAGCTCAAGGATGTGGTGACGACACGCGAGATGCAGAAGACGGCGGCCGAGTTTCTGCTCCAGAATGACACATGCCCCTGACAAGTGCCCAGTGTTTGAAGCTGTTGTGTCAAAACTGAGTGCTGAAACATTCTCTGATATTTTCCACTCTTCCAGCGCTGCACTGACTGCTGTAGCAATGGCCTGTCCAGTCCCTGACAATAGTTTCGGGACACCAAGCAGCTTTTCAGTATTGATTCCGGAGACAAGAATGGCGATTCGGTCAACACTCGCTCCTTGTTCATCAGGAATAATTTTTCCATCCCAGTGCACAGTGAGCACTTCACTAGGTTGAAATTTTTCTTTAATTTCGTTGGCAATCCCAGAACGGTGGGTCGCTTGCGAAGTACGCACTGTCTCATAGTTTAAAACTAGTTCCATTGGGTCATGACCTAGACTAGCAGCCGTGGCACTGACGATCCGGAGAGCAGAGCGGTGACTGATCCCAGTGCGGTCCAATGTACTTGACAATTCAGGGGTGATAACTTTGAGAGTAGCACGTTTACGATTGGAAGAAGATACCACTGGTGATATCGTTAGGGAACTTGTAGATGATGACGAGCTTGATTGTGATTCTGTTTCAGACGAAGAACCCAACTCATCATATTCAAGAGCAGAACTGGCTTGATTCTGTTGTAGAGATTGCTTACTCTTGCTTTCTTCCCGACGCTTGATGGAACAAGCAATCTTTTTGTCTACTCCTGCCATTACACCTCTTCTCCCTTTTTCTCGTTGCGCTGCCAGGAATGCTCGGTCTTCTTTGATGGTCAAGAGCTGCATTGCCTTGGGGTGGGCAACATCGAAGAGGTCCTCTAACTCATCACAAAAAGTTTCCTCTTTCTTACGTTGTGTGTCTGTAGTGCGAGTGCAGTTTTTCTTAAGTCCCTTCCACATTAAAAAAAGATCCACTACCTTTCGTCCAATACTCTTCTCAGTTATGGTAGGAATCCGTGCTTTATTCCAGAAACTAATAACCGATGCTGCAACTTCACTCGCAGAATCATTCACTGTTTTCTTATGTTCATTGTGACCGTGGAAAAACAGACGTAGAACATCTCCTCTTGAAGGAAGTTGTGCACCCGTGATTTCGGTTATGTGTTGACCAATGAGCCAAACTTCAGTTTTTGAACGTGTACTCTCCATTGAACCTGAAACAAACAAAAACATTTATGTAACTTATGTTGTTACTGTTATGCAAACAACAGCACCCATAAAGCATACGGCATGCAAGATCACTTGTATAAAGTTTTTAAAGTGTTATATACCTAAATTGATGCATTGATTTTAGACAAAGACAATGGTACTAACCGTAATACTGCAACAAGAGCGACGCACACACACCCACCGTCACGTCTCACACACAACTGATGCTACTGTACCAGTCAGACACTGGCACACAACCTCTTCCCCCTACCCCGACTGACACCCGCCTCTCCCTCCCCTCTGCATTGCCAATAGCTGCACCAGCCAAAATACTCATTACTCATTTTTAGAAAAAATGTTAGGAACAACTTTA